GCCTCAGTTTGCAACCTCCACGGGGAACACAGCCTCAGTTTTGATTTAGGATTTCCCTGAAGCACTTACGAAGCAGGCATTCTCCTGCAGTTTTTCTTAAAAATATGGAAAGTTTTAGCAACATTCTCTATGCCCACGTGACAGTAAGACCCCTGTATGTTACAAACCCATCCATACCACAGCTCATCCCGGCTTACCAAAGGAGGGTCAATGAGTTTCAGTGCATACCTGTGGGATCCTCCCTGGCAGCCCTCACTCCACCTGGAAGTTCCTCCTCCCTCCATCTGGAAGCCCTCCCTCCAGCCCACACACACCTGTGTAGATCCCACTTTAAGCGCCTGAGCTCATCCATTGAGATCTTCCCCCTGTGGGACTGGAAGATGGGCATCAGGCTTTTCAATGGCTGCACTCCGTTCCTTTGTTTGCACGAACCACCACTTGCTTATCTAGTCACCTTCTCAGTGAGCATCCACCCTGTCCACTTAGTAACCCTAGAAACCAGCTTGCAGTGAACATTTTTTTTTTTGGACACCTTCCAAGCAAAATGCCTAGTTCTCAGAGGTGACACCATCACGCCAAAACAAGTCCATATTATAACACCTAGCACACACAGACACAGTCATCCTGACATCGGACAGTCCCTGTCTGTCCCTGTTGGGCTTGGTGGCACACAGCTGTGGTCTATGCTCAGGAGTGTGAGGCAGGAGGATGGCTTAAAAGACAGGAATCCGAGACTAGCCTGAACAGCAGAACAAGACTCTGTCTCAAAAAGAGAAAAGTATGCCCGGCTTACTTGGGTTTGCTCCTATGTTGAGCGAGCCCTTCTGAAAGTCAGTTGTTGGGCTGTGGCAGTGGCAGAAGCTATGGTTGCTTTAGTCTCCTCATACACTAGTCAGTGACCTCATAGGCTGTGTCAATACCTAATGACCGCCAGCAGGGGCCAGGCCAAGAGGACACCCTTCCCAGCGGTTTACCAGTCCCATTGGCTCCCCTCAGCCTCCAGCAGGAACAACTCAGACGAAGACTGAAGTGAGAACCCTCTAGAGCAATCTTCCATCTTCAAGGATGCTGCCCCAAAGAGCTCCTCAGTCCCTGCACCAGGAGCGCTGTCTCGCTCCATCCACGTCAAGCTGCTGGGAACTGGCATGCTCCACGTTCGCCAGAGCGCAGCAGATGCAGAATTCAACACCAGGCTGGGCTCTAGAGACAGAATGATAGATAAGAAAGAAAATGTTGGGCGGTGGGGGTGCACGCCTTTAATTCCAGCACTTGGGAGGCAGAGGCAGGCGGATCTCTGTGAGTTCGAAGCCAGCCCTAATCTACAAAGCGAGTTCCAGGACAGCCAGGGCTGTTACACAGAGAAACTCTGTCTTGAAAAAACAAAAACAAACAAACAGCAAAGAAAAAGAAGGAAAGAACAAAAAGACAGAGTTGGTAAATGCACATTAAAGATCCCAGACAGAACTAACTTTAGTGCCTGTCTGGGCAAGGGAGATTCAAAACTTACAACATCTGTCCTTCTGCCAAATTAGACATACATGTATTAGACCATGTTTGTCACTTAGCTGGACAATTTGAGCACCCCTAATCTAAAAATATGAACTTTAAAACGTGTGTGTGTGTGTGTGTGTGTGTGTGTGTGTGTGTGTGTGTAAGTTCATCTGTGTGCACATGGCTCAAGGTTAATGTTGGGTGTCTTCCTCCATCTCTCTCCACCTCATGTACGGAAGCATATGCTTGAATCCAGAACTCACCAGCTCCTGCTAGTATGGTTGGCCAGCTTGCTCTGGGGATCCCATCTCTGCGTAAGCACAAGAAATACAATTAGAGTTCCATACTCCTTTGGCTTTTTAATTTTAAACAAAACTAAATATTTTTTAACATGTTTACTATTTTTATGTCTATGGGTGTTTTGCCTGCCAGTACCCAAGGGTTCATGATTGTTGTGAGCTGCCAAGTGAAAGCTGGGAATTGAACATGGGTTTTCTAGAAGAGCAACAATTGCTCTGAACCACTGAGACATCTCTCCATCTCCCACACTCCCCAACACTTCAATACCAAGCATTTCAGATAAAGAATACTGAAGTGTGTGTGTGTGTGTGTGTGTGTGTGCATGTGTGTGTCTACAAACATACTCATGAAAGGAGAAAGAAACCTTAATGTTTAACCTACCACTCTTTTCAGTTCAGACCCACAACATTGTCTTGGCATGTTTACTTTTTGTGGTGTTGGGGATGGAAGCCAGGGCCTAACTATTCCAGTGAGCCCAAGCTCAGCTCTAGTACCATGGAGTTTTTGTCTGTCTTCTGTCTTGTCTATGTTTTCTTTTATTTATTTATTTATTTATTTATTTATTTATTTATTTATTATGTATACAACATTCTGTCTGTGTGTATGCCTGCAGGCCAGAAGAGGGCACCAGACCTCATTAAAGATGGTTGTGAGCCACCATGTGGTTGCTGGGAATTGAACTCAGGACCTTTGGAAGAGCAGGCAATGCTCTTACCCTCTGAGCCATCTCTCCAGCCCCTGTGTTTCTTTTTTGAGACAAGATTCAGCTGGCGTGGAAGTCACAGAGACCCACCGGCCTCTGCCTCCTGAGTGTTGGGGCCAAAGGTGTGTGCCATCAGGCTCCACCTCACTTTGTATCTTTCTAACCCACACATAGTTTAGTTTGCCAATCCAACCTCCTATTGGGGAACACTTGAGTCCTTTCAAGTGGCTGCTGAGGTCACAGAGCAAGCTGGAAGTGGGTCTTTGGGCACATCTGTGGGATTTGTTCTGCAAGTGAGATCTGCAAACCTCAAAAAAACCAAAAAAGCAAAAGCAAAACAAAAACAAAAAACAAGAGCAACAACAATGCATATCCAGGCCAGCCCCGACTGTGGGACTTGGTCACATGGAGGCTGCAGTGTGAGGAACACATTAGCGGTTCACACGCTTGTTTGTGGGGCTCATATCTGTGGGTATCACTCAGCAAACAGTGCTTCAGCGGGCCCTAGTGCTGTTCCCTTTGGCAGCTGCAGGGATGTGGCTTGGATGCATCCCCCAAGGCTGAGCGTTTAAAAGGCTTATTTTCACTCTGTTGTGCTACCTCAAGGTGGTAGAGCCTTTAAGCTTTGGTGCAAAGTCTTTCTGTCACAGGAAGTGTACCCTGGAGGGTATTGGGACCTCGGGTTCTTCCTCTTTTGCTTCCTGGTCAGCATGAGGAGAGCAGCTTTATAGTATCCCACGTCCCAGCCTCAAAGGAATAAAGTCAACCTCTCTCTTGATCATCACCTCTGGTATTTTGTTACAGCAACGGAAAGCTGACTAACAAACCCAGGAAACCCTTAGATTCTTTCTATGCTCAGTGATTTACAGGTAGGACAGGCAAGTTGCTGGCTACCTAGAAAGAAAACTAACTGCCTTCTTTTGGGATCAAAGGGGATGACAGTTTTGAAAGTAACGTCTCCTCTCTTTGGGAGCCATGGTTGTCCTCCCTTCGCCAGCTGCATTCAGCTAACATCCGAGGCGACCCCAGTTCCTGGTGCTTTCCCATGCGGAGTCCTCTGGTTGCTCCAGTTCACTTTAATGATCCGTTCTATAGATGGAAAGACCATGCTTGTGTCTCAAGGCTCAGAAGCTGATCAAGAACCATTTTCTGGGGAGACTACAGCCCAAGGGGGAAGCCTACTGTTACTGTTTCTCTAAATAGCCACGTTCTCAAACTGCCCTCTAAACACTTGAGTTTATACCAACAGATTGGTGCTGCCTCCAGCCCTCATCAGAGAATCTTCTCACAGTAGCAGGTGGGGTTGACCGGGAGCTAGTTTTTGATGTTTGGGGCATGTGCTCGCTCACTTGTCGGCTAGCTCTGTTTCTTCCCACATACCCAGACTTGAGAGTCTCATTGTACCCTGGCTAGGTCCTTGGAATCCCACCCTCAGTCGGGCTCTCTCTCAGGCAGCTATGTGCTTCCTCTGCTTGGGCTGCCATAGCCCATGTTTCCCCAGACTGCACCTGCTCTTTGAGAGAGATATTACGAACTTCTTCCCCTCTGCCCCTGATGGCTCCAGAAGGTCCCATGAGCAAGGGGCACAGCAGTGGCTCATAGAACACAGCACTGGGGTGTGCGTGGGTATGAAAGAATGAGTTAGAAAACTAAATTGTCCCCAACTCTGTCTGGAATATGGGGGTGGAGGTGTGAGAAGAGTAGATGAATAACCTGTTCGCAAACAGGGAAAGGTAATGACCCTCTAGATTTTCATTGTTCCATCTACCTACCGACCACCTACCTACCGACCTCCTACCTACCGACCTCCTTCCTACCGACCACCTACCTACCGACCTCCCTCCCTCACATCCATCATTTACTGGTGACTTACCTATCAATCATCTATCTGTTATTTATCTGTTACTATTTATAAACTTATTTAATTTTGGTACAGAGAATGGTATTTACCTTCAGGGCCAAAATTCATCAAACCAGACAAGGTCCTATGTGGTCACATGGACTAGCCTGGAAGTTCCTAGTTTCTAGGACTGGCCAAGGATGACCTTGTTTTCCTGATTCACCTGGCACCACCTTCCCAGAGCTTGAACTGCAGGCATGCAAGACCATGTGTGGTTTACTGCAATGCTGGGGATGGATGGAACCAGAAGTTTCTTGCATGCTAGGCTACAAGAGTTTCTCAAACCACGCCTGGCTCAAATTCTGTTTTTAAACACAGATGATGCCCATATAAATGTACAGGTCTGAAAGCGTGTGTGTGTGTGTGTGTGTGTGTGTGTGTGTGTGCAGGGGTAATGGTATGTGCACTCCAGGAAGGAAGGCTTGCTACTATCACACAGACAGAGCCTCTGGGACTGTGAGAAGAGCCCTGGTCTGGCTTTGGAAAGCCCTCTCCCCACAAGTCAGAACTTTGTGTTGCAAGGCCCCCTCTGCCCCTCCCCAGGTGCACAGACATCACCTGGGAAGCTGACTGCACTGACAGAAAAACAAATCTTTATTTCCATAGGTTGGCGAAACCCTGTATCCTTGGAGGAAGCTGGTTCCCATTTTCCTGAGCGGGGAGCCTGGACCTTGGAAGGAAGCCGAGCGGAAAGACCCACCCAGAGCTGATGGTGGAAACACGGACTGAGGAAGCCCCCGGGAAGTCCAGCTGCAGAGATAGCCACCCCGATGCTATTTACATATAGCTATACATATATATATATATATACACACACACACACACAAAGGAGAAAATACAAAATTCTGTATCTGTGCATGCCTGCGGGGCATGTGGTCCCTCCCCTTTCCGCACCTTGCAATGTGAACTTTGAGACTTTGTAATGTCTGGGGCAGCAGGGGAGACAGATGCTTGCTGCTCTGTGTGTGCTGGAAACTTACAAGGACTGGTGGGATCAGCCTCAGCATGGACCAACTGCCCAGCACAGATGTTGGCGTGGAGTAGTGGGAACTCTGCCAAAGGCAAGATGGACAAAAACAAAGGGGATGTGGGGCCCGTTTTGTTGGGTGCAGCCTGGGGGTCCCTCTCCATTTCTTGACATGTCCTAGTCTCTCTCTGTGTCCCTATCTAGACAGCTGTCACGGTTGCAGCCAGAGAAACGGGATGTCCTTTTCTTTTCCTACCTATCTGGTGTGTGTGGTGCTGAACTTCAAATTCTCTTGGTGCTAAGTGTGTCCTTGGCGTGGTCAGAGTCTTAACTGACAGACCCAGAAGGCCAGGGGATGACAGGTTTCTATTTTGCTCTTTGAATATCCTCTTTTTTTTAAGGGCCAAGTGATGAGTGCCACTGGGGAGTCTTTCTATGGGGGAGCAGGGAAGGCTCACAGGGGTTTAGGAGCAAACCCCGGGGTGCCTGGGAAGGAGGAGGGGCGAGCCTGGTTGCAGAAGCTGCTTAGGAGTTGGCAGTTCCCTCCTCCCCCTGCAGCAATACCCTGGGAGATTGCTGTGGCCTCCCCCACTTCGTGAGGGGATTCAGGGCTTAGGTTTTATAAAGAGCCAAGAAATGGCTTCGTTCTGACAGAGGAGCGTGATTTACAAGCAGGGGATGTTGGGGAGGGGGCGGACCTTTTAAATGGAATGTCCGATTCCCCTGCTCCCCAAACACACATAGGATAAGCTACTGTTTTCAGAAGTTTCTCGAAGGGCTAATATAAATAAATAAATAGATATATAAATACATATATTATATATATAAAATGAAGCTGTGTGCTTGACTGATATTTGACTGCAAGGGCTCACTGCTTCAGAAGTGATGATTAATTTTTGCTTTCATTTTTTTAAAAAAAGATTCCAACAGAAACAGGTATTATTCCTCTGCATGGATACTTTATTGCCTCTATTGTGATCTTCGTGGTTGAGTTGGTGAGGGAGCCTGCTGTGGGCTCAGTGAGACAGTTACTCTTATTTTTAATTTTTGAGACAAGGTCTGGTGCTGGAGACCAGGCTGACCTCCGATCTTGAGCCCCCTGCCTTGGCATCTGGCATTTGGGACACTGCCTGCCAGGGGGACAGTCATTTTCCCCTGGCTGAATTTGCAGGTCGCTTGCCTGGTGCCTGGGGACCAGGGGTCTGCTAGGAAGCATCAGTTATTAGGGTGCACAGGGCTACAAGGGAAATGGTCCCGGTCAATTATGCTGAGTGTGATCAGCTCCTAAAGTACACACCCTCTCAGTCCGGTGACAACGGGCTCCTTTCATTCATTTTTCCTTCTCCATATTGAATCCATGCCTTACAGTTCTCTAAATAACCCATTAAAGAAAAATGCAACTGAGAACTCAATGCTGAAGCCTCCCCCCCCCCCCCCCCCCCGCCAACCCCTTAACTGCCAGAATTGAAATCAGCAAAGGAAAAAAAAATAACAAAGAGTTTATTTGGCAGGGAGGCAGCAGGCAGCATGCCGAGCCCTCCTCACCAAGCCGGAATTACACAGAATCTGGAAAACACTCTCTGTATTTAGTCCCTTTCTGAGCAAGGAACAGAGTCCTTGCAAAGCATCCAGGGAAGGTGCTCGCTATGGTGGGAATCAGGGGTGTCAGGCTCTTTAAAGAGATATTGTCAAGATCGCAGTGGGGACTTGCTAACCTCAGAGAGACCCAGCATAAGGGTGAGAGGTCATAGAATACCTCCCTTTTTGTGTTTTGCTTTTGAGCCTGACATTGCCTGTTAGCATAGGCTATCTCTCTGGAGGATTTGAACTCCAAACACAGGAGTTGGCATCTCCAATGATTTTCATTTCAATGAAGCTGTGCTGCTGAGAGAACCTGGGCACCCATGACCTTGCGATGGAACTTTCCAGCCAAACCCTCTGTAAATATTCTCCGGTAGTAATGGAAACCATGTATTTATCGAAAGGAGGGTAGGGTGGGGGAGGGGGAGCTTGGCTCACACGCTGTTCATTCGAGTGCGCTTCTTCTTTGCCCCGAATTTGATGGGGTTGTTTTTAAATGCTGTTTTTATAGGAGATTTGACTTCTTGATGGACATTTGTATTAGGATACTGAAGCATGCTAGCCATGTCTGTTGTCTCCACTGTCTCTGATGTGATGTTACTTGGACTGCATGAGATAGTGGGATGGGCTTTTTGTTGATGGTGTTATTGCAAAAGGAAAAAACAAAACAACAACAAAAAACCCAACTTCCACAGTGTGTGAAGTGCTGGCACCATCCTCCCTTTTATCCCCCGCTTCCCCTGGCTGCCAAGGAGCACTGATTTTGATTTGCCTCTCCGCAGTCTGTGATGAGGAAAAGAGAGGGAGAGAGGCTTTGAAATAAATTTTAAAAAAGACCTCATACTGGGTCAGCAGACAGCAGCGTGTGTGTGTGTGTGTGTGTGTGTGTGTGTGTGTGTGTGTCCGTGCAAAGCCTAGGAGGTCTCTGAGATCATTGCTAGGGAGCTAGCTGTGTGGCGAGATGAGGTACTATCTGTCACCCAGGTCCAAAAGCTGCTGCCTGCTCTCTGAGGGTGAGGGTCCTGGAGTCTGGGGGACTCAAGCCTTCCAGAGTAGGTCCACTCCCTTCTGGAAGCTTCTCTCCTTTACCTCATCCTCAACAAGCAAGATCTCGTTTAAGTTTGAGGTTCCATCTCTCTTTGTTTTGGAAAGGGAGAGTCTGAGCCAGAGCTGTTTTGGAGAGCCCCTGGACACTTCCTGTCCCCACTCCCCCAGCTTCCTAGCCATATTTCCTCTTCACCTCTATGGATAGCCTTGTTCTGTTTCCTTTCTACTGTGATGAGGAGTGGGGACCTAAACAAATTATCACAGGATAAGGAGGCTGCGAATGCCCCGTGACACTTCATACAGTTGAGCTCATGTCTCGTGTGTGCCTGACTATTGTCATGTTTCTGAAATTGACCAAGTGTCATTCTTCCTCACTGAGGACTGAGGGAGGAAGCAGACACTGGCACACCCTACACAAATATCTCCAGGAGACACTTTGGAGGTCACTAGTGTGCACTATTTATGTTTGTTACAGTTTTGTGAGACATGGAGCCCAGAATGGTCTTGATCTCACTATACAGAAGAGGATAACCCTAAACTTGGTATCCTCCTGCCTCCACTTCCTGATTCCAGGTGTGGGCCACTACACCTGGCTTATGCTGGACTGTTTGAATGTCCACAGTGAACTGTTAGAAACTACAGTGACCGGAACACAGACACTCTGCTGTGTTCATACTATTTTCTTTTCTGAGCCTGAAGTCAAATTGGGGGAGCCCAGGTGGTCAGAAGTTGGTTGAGGATTTGGGGAGTAGGAGAGGAGCAGACTATTCCTGCATGAGCTGATCCGAAGGCCCACAAAGGGGGTACGCTGACATCACAGTGTCTTTTGAAACCGTTAGCCGAAAGTTTATCTTTTTAAAGATTTTGATCAATTCGCTCGATACCTATTTACTGAGCATCTAGAGTGTGCCAGCTGGAGACCTCCACCTCGGAACGAACTTAGTTATGGTACAGCAACGGTCCTTTTGGAGACCAGATGCTATGAAATGTCCCTTTGCAGTCTGGCTCACAATTTGTAACAGATCTGGCAGGTCACCATGGTGACCTCACGCCTTGCTGGCAGATTGCTATATAGTATTTTTTTTTGCATGCCATGCTCTGGGCTGAATACAGTTAAAAAGCTTGCTGTATTGTCTCCTCAGTGGGAAGATTGGTCCCTTTGTACATAATCAAAGACCCCTTCACAGAATGAGTACTGCCCACCGTGGAGTACTGCACGAGGTGCTTCCTGAGGCTTCGCCCGAGAGATCCTCACCCTAGTGGTAGTGCCACTGAGCCCATTTTACAGATGAAGAAGCTGAAGGCGCCCAACAGTCAGTGGCTGATCTAAGGTTTGCATTTGAATCCGTGTGACGCAGGGAGGCACTGGCATTAGATCAAGGGGCTCTGGTGTTGTTCATTTGAAAGCAAGCATTGTGTTTCCTTGCTCGTGGGCAGACACTGCTAGTCCAGAGGCAAGGATGCACCTGTGGGTCAGCAGGGCGTGTCTACGTTTGCTCAATGGAAAGAATGCCTTATCTGCGGGCACTTGAGAGCAGGCTGAATGGTTTCAGGGGATTGCTCCCAGCTTCAATAAAGTCCAGGGTGAAGGGTGTCTAATGTGCAAATGGCTTGTCCCACTCATCTCCTTGGCTATGGGAAGTTTTTCTTACCTCTCTTATCTATCTTCTCCCCCAATCCCAGATTCCCCCAAAGTCTTTGCACTGTAAGAGTCAAGGAGCCCATGTACATGGCAGAGATGGTTGTGAAGGGCCTTTGGAACCTGGGAGACATTCTGTCTGGGTCCTGACATTGTTGCCTTGTGCTCTTTTCTAAGTGGAATTTCCTACCTGGACGCTTTGTACATATTTGTTACACTTTTAATAAAAAATTGATTGTGCACCTCTAGTGAAGACCTGTGCGTGTTCATTTCCCTTGGGAAGGTCGGTCCTCGGGGACCACGGGATGAGCATAGCTGCACGGTGACAGGTGACTCCTCTCTGCACAGGCAGTGCTAGCACATAGAGGTTAGAGGTCAACCTCAGGAACTGTCACTTTTTTTTTTTTTTGACAGGATCTCACAGGGCTTCACAGCCCTGGCTAGCCTGGAACTCAAAAAGTTGACCAGGTACTCAGAGGTCCACTTGCCTCTGCTCCTAAGTGCTAAGATTACAAAAAAAAGTATGTGCCACTATGCCCAGCTCCACCTTGTCTTTTGAAACTGGGTTTCTTCATTGACCTGCAGCTCACTGAGGCAGCTAGACTAGGTGCCTAGCAAGCCCCATAGGGGCACAATTGTCACCTGAGACTACTAATTTGTACTTTGTTAGATCCCTGGCAAGTTCTGGGTTTATTTTTTTAGATTATTATGGTTTTTGAGATAGAGGTCATGGTACAGTCAGGGACCTGCCTTGAACTCTCAATCCTACCCTCAGTCTCATTAGGGTTGTGAACCATGACATCTAGACGAATCAGTCACTCTCCCCTCTACCTACCAGTGCTGGAGATGGGACCTGGAGCCCTGTGCATTCGCAGCCAGCATTCTCCCACTGAATTATGTCCGCCCTCACTGGCAGAATGTAAGCAGATTCTCTGCTGATGAGCAGAGCCCTGGCCAAGCAAGTGTTTCCTGATCACCACCAATTCCACACCCCCAGTCAGCAGTGGGGTGTGCTGCGCGGGCACCCAAACAGCAGTGAGATGTGGGGCTTCCAGGGCACACAGACTAAAGTGCTCTGATGATATCTCTCAATTCAGAGTCAAGGACACCCTGGTGTGTTTGTGAAGGCACTAGAGTCAGAGTGTGGTAGTCTCAGATGCAGCCTATGCCAGCAGCCTCCTTTGGGATGTCCCTAAAGACTGTCTCCCCAGAAGTCACTGTCCAACATGGCTCCCTCTCTCCTCTTTTGTGTGTCTATGCTAGTGCGTATGTGCATACATGTCTGTCTATGTAAGGCCAGAGGTCAACAATCAGTGTCTTCATCTGTCCCTCTCCTCTTCATTTTTGGAGGCAGCATCTTGGACTGAATTTGGAGCTAGGCTGGTCAGCCCCAGGAATCCGTGTCTTCCCTGCCCCCACAGATTTGCTGCCACACCCAGCTTTTTACATGGGTTCTAGGGATCCAAACTCAGCTCCTCATGCTTGTGGGGCAAGCATTTCACCTACAGAGGCACCTGTGCAGCCAATCCACTTTCTATTTCTTTCTCGGCTTCTCTAGGGAGAAGCATCCGCTGTGTCTCCACAGGCGCTGCACCTCAAAACAGGTCTATTTGACTTCAGGAGGCGGACTGACCGACAAATATAACAGAGAAGGTTTATTAGCAGAAGGTTCTCAAAGACACTGAAGACAGCCATGTGCCAAAGGAAAGCACCACAGACCTCAGGCCTGCTCCCGTTTCGTCCTTAGCATCAGGACGGACAGTCCCAATGCTCCATACCTGTATGTCATTCCCTTTGGAAAATGCTGGCCCTGTCAAGCTCAGTTCAAAGCAGGCCTTTCTTCTTCCCACACACTTCTTGAAGATTTATTTTGTTTTAAATTATGTGTGTGCATGTGCCCCCCCCCATATACCCTTCGTGTATGTGAGGTACCTGCGGAGGTCAGAAGAGAGCCCCCAATTCCCTGGAGCTGGAGTCAACAGTAGTGAGCCCCTTGATGTGAGTGCTGGGAATTGCACTCTTAACTGCTCTGGCTTCTCTCCAGTCTCCCTGTAATGTTATTCTCAGGTTCTTATGCACAAACAAGACTCTGAGGATTCAGTGCAATTTGAGTCTCTGTCTCACAGATACTGGGCATCAGAC